AAGAAAACTACTTTAAATTTCATATGGAACCAAAAAAGAGCCTGCAGAGCCAAGACAATCCTAATCAAAAAGAACAAAGCTGAAGGCATCATGCTACCTGACTTCAAACTATACTACAAGGCTACAGTAACCAAAACAGCATGGTACTGGTACAAAAACAGACATATAGACCAATGGAACAGAACAGAGCCCTCAGAAATAACAACACACATCTACAACCATGTGATCTTCAACAAATTTGACAAAAACAAGCAATGGAAAAAGGATTCTATATTTAATAAATGGTGCTGGGGAAACCGGCTAGTCATATGCAGAAGACTGAAACTGGACCCCTTCCTTATACTTTATACAAAAATTAACTCAAGATGGATTAAAGATTTAAACATAAGACCTAAAATCATAGAAACCCTAGAAGAAAACCTAGGCAATACCATTCAGGACATAGGCATGGGCAAGGACTTGATAACTAAAACACCAAAAGCAAACTAAAACAAAAGCCAACATTGACAAATGGGATCTAATTAAACTAAATAGCTTCTGCACAGCAAAGGAAACTATCATCAGAGAGAATAGGCAACCTATAGAATGGGAGAAAATGTTTGCAATCTATCTATCTGACAAAGGTCTAATATCCAGAATCTACAGGAACTTAAACAAATCTACAAAGAAAAAACAAACAACCTCATCAGAAAGTGGGTGAAGGATATGGACACTTTTCAAAAGAAGACATTTATGCAGCCAAGAAACATATGAAAAAAAGTTAATCATCACTGCTCATTAGAGAAATGCAAATCAAAACCACAATGGGATACCATCTCGTGCCAGTTAGAATGGTGATCATTAACAAGTCAGAAAAAAACAAATGCTGGAGAGGATATGGAGAAATAGAAATGCTTTTACACTGTTAGTGGGAGTGTAAATTAGTTCAACCATTGTATAAGACACTGTGGCAATTCCTCAAGAATCTAGAACCAGAAATACCATTTGACATAGCAATCCCATTACTGTCGTACTGCAACCTCCCAAAGGATTATAAATCACTCTATGATAAAGACGCATGCATACTATGTTTATTGCAGCACTATTCACAATAGCAAAGACTTGGAACCAACCCAAATGCCCATCAACGATAGACTGAATAAAGAAAATGTCACAGATGTACACCATGGAATACTATGCAGCCATAAAAAGAATTAATTCCTGTCCTTTACAGGGACATGGATAAAGCTGGAAACCATCATTCTCAGCAAACTGACCCAAGAACAGGAAACCAATACTGCGTGTTCTTATTCATAAGTGAGAGTTGAACAATGAGAACAGGAGGGGAACATCACACATCAGGGCCTGTCAGGAGGTGAGGGCAAGGGGAAGGAGAGCATTAGAAGAAATACCTAAAGCATGTGGGCCTTAAAACCTAGATGACATTGCCAAGTGCAGTGGCTCATGACTGTTATCCTAGCACTTTGGGAGGCCGAGGTAGGAGTTTGAGACCTGTCTAGACAACATGGTGTAACCACCGCCCCCCCCACCATCTCTACTAAAAATACAAAAAATTAGCTGGGCATAGTGGTGGGCACCTGTAATTCCAGCTACTTGGGAGGCTGAGGCAGGAGAATCACTTGAACCCAGGAGGTGGATTTTACAGTGAGCTGAGACTGCACCACTGCATTCCAGCCCAGGTGACAGAGTGAGACTCTGTCTCGAAAAAAAAAAAACAAAAAAAACCTAGATGTCAGGTTGATGGGTGCAGCAAACCACCATGGTACATGTATACCTATGCAACAGACCCGCACATTAGGCATATGTATTTCAGAACTTAAAATATAATAATAAAAACTAATAATATGCATAGTAACAAAAGTGTAGCAAAATGGGTATTTTCTGTCAATATACACTGCAGATTATTTTAAATTGGCATACACTTTTTAATAGAATAATTTATATCTTGTCTGATCTCTAAAGCTAAGCAGAATGGAACCCAGTTAGTACTCGTATAAGAGAATAATTTGTAAATGTATTGAATGCCTTAAAATGGTTACACCCTTTGAGCAGTAATCACATATTAAAATGTATAGTTTCATAAAGTAACCCAAACCTTTGGTGGTGGGCTGGGGTTGTTGATTTTATCCAACAAGATTAATATTACAACAGCATAAGTACTGTGAGATAAAAATGTTTCAATTTAAACATTTGGTTAAATAACCCATGCCATAACCCTTGCATGGAACATTATCGAGTCATAAAATGCTACGTTCATGAAGAATATTTAATGTAGAAAATGCTTATGATACAATAGTAATGAGAAAAAAAAAGATTAATACTGCATATGAAGGAAGGATATAAGGCTGGGAGCAAGGGCTCACACCTGTAATCCCAACACTGGGAGGCTGAGGCGGGTGGATCACTTGAGGTCAGGAGGTTGAGACCAGCCTGACCAACACGGTGAAACCCCATGTCTACTAAAAATATGAAAATTAGTGAAGTGTGGTGGCACACACCTGTAATCAAAGCTACTTGGGGGTCTGAGGCAGGAGAATCGCTTGAACCTGGCAGGCAGAGGTTGCAGTGAGGTGAGATCACACCACTGCACTCCAGCCTGGGTGACAGAGCAAGACTGTCTTAAAAAAAAAAAAGGGCAGAGCGCAGTGGCTCACACCTCTAATCCCAGCACTTTGGGAGGCCAAGGTGGACAGATTACTTGAGGTCAAGAGTTTGAGACCAGCCTAGCCAACATGGTGAAAGTCCAACTCTACAAAAAAATACAAAAATTAGCTAATCATGATGGTGCGAGTCTGTAATTCCAGCCACTCAGGAGGCTGATACAGGAGAATTGCTTGGCCCCGGGAGGTGGAGGTTGCAGTGAGCTGAGATCACACCACTGCACTCTAGCTTAGGCAACAAAGCGAGACTCCAACTCAAAAAAAAAAAAAAAGCCCCAAAGAAAAGACATTAAAATGTAGTCACTATGCATAGATGGTATTAATAATAATATATTGGCATTATATTAGAAATTTGTCACATTAAGATTATTCTATCTTGTTGAAGCAGCATCTGATAAATCTGTTTGCAGTGGTGACAGAATTTTTAAAGTACTCTTTCCTTATTACTAATAATCCTTAGTTAACCTGGTGATATTATCAACAACGCAATTCACTCTAGCTTTAGTAACGGGAATCCTGTGAATGTATTTTATTTCTCAATATCCTGTGTAGCTGGATAGGGTTAGATTATATTCTATAAAGGATAAGATATTTTGCCAGTGTGGCACAAATTTGAGAAGACCCAAGGCCTAGAATTTCATACTTGTCCTTGAGTTTTTATATCCAAATGATTGTACATATTGCCATTAAAATAATTAGATGTCCAAAAAAAAAAGAAATTTCGGTCATGTTCAACTTTTTACTATTATAAATGATGCTGTGTATATACACCTTTGTGCATGTTTATGATTCTCTCATTTATTTATTTATAAATTATTTGTAGACACAAGGTCTTGCTATGTTGCCCAGGCTGGTCTCCAACTCTTAGGCTCAAGCGATCTCCTGCCTTGGCTTGCCAAAGTGCTGGGATTACAGGTGTGAGCTACCATACTCAGCCGATTACCTTCTTTAGAATAAATTTCTAGAAGTGTATTTGCTGATTAAGAGGAATGACCATGGCCGGGCACCATGGCTCATGCCTATAATCCGACCACTTTGGGAGGCCAAGGCGGGTGGATCACTTGAGGTCAGGAGTTCACGACCAGCCTGGCCAACATGGTGAAACCCTGTCTCTACTAAAAATACAAAAATTAGTTTGGCGTGGTGGTGTGCACATATAGTCTCAGCTACTGAGGAGGCTGAGACACTGGAATCGCTTGAACCTGGGAAGCTGAGGTTGCAATGAGCAGAGATTGTGCCACTACACTGCAGCCTAGGCAACACAGCGAGACTCCATCTCAAGAAATGAAATAAAAGGAATGAGCATGCTTTTTATGGCAGACTGAGCAGACTAATACAATATGATATCATTTATGTAAGTTAAAATACATACAGAATAGTAATCTGTATTGTTTATGAATGCATTCACATGCATGAAATACTGTCTTTAAAAAGAGCTGGACAAATATATCTGAAACTGAATGACTGCTTCTAGGTATAGAAAGGGTCATAGAGCTCAGGGCTGAGGTTACTACATCTTACTCTAACTGCAACGTTTTATTTCTAATGAGAAAAAGAAAAAATAAAGCAAAATGTTAAAAAGTGTTTTGGCCTGCACAAATACATGTGAGTATTCACGATGTTACCTTTGTGTTATTTGGTGTCTTTTACATTTATTTTAAAAAATAAAATAGGATAAGCTTATAAATAAGATGAAACACATTATTTGGGAGCAATTACCCCTTCTTAATTAAAATAGATAAATATAAGGAGAGAGAGAGAGAGAGAGAGATATGAATGAATGAATGAATGAATGAACAGATAGTAGACAAACAGGGAAGCTGGCCAATTTGTGACTCATTTACAAATTTCACAATGTATCATTCTGTAATTTTAATATTGAAAATGTTGCCCCTGCCATTATATAATATTTGTTCATTTCCTGACTTATTCAATAAACAATAATTGAGCATGTGTAAGGGCTTATAAAACATGGATGAATAAGGCAGATACTATCATTGAGGATCTTAGTCCAATGAAGATGACAGACACAAAAACTTAACCATAGGACTATCTAAAGCATGCTCTACAAGGAGGAGGAATGTTACTGCAGCAGATACAAGTTGCTTGCATTGCCACAGAGAGTCAAGGAAGCCTTCGCATAGAGGAGATGACATTTGAGATGAATTTAGAGGGATTCCAAAAAAGTACAAAGCTTCTGACTAAAGGCTTAAAGTCCACTAGTATCCGTATTCCATAACTTCTCTCTATATAACTTCAGCCAAAATTACTCTATAATTCACATACATATGTCACAACTTTTTAAAAGTCTGATAAAATCCAAAATGAGTCTTGTCTCACCTTTCCAGATTTTTCATCTTCTAGGACTGCCAATTTTTTTTTCTGCTTATTATATTCTTGTCTTCTCTCTAAAACACTCATAATATTTTCATCTGTTAAGTTCTTCCTAAACTCACAGAACTGAGGCCAGAATTTAAACAGAACCCCAAAAATTGTCATCTGTATAAAAAACAAAGTCTCAGATTACAATTTTATACAAATGTACCAATTTAAACTCTATTCACCATAATCATAGATGAACTACTCTATCTTTAATATACACCATGTTTCCTCCAACTTATTGTCTCCAGACATCTTGGTATAGCTTTGCTTGGCACATGCTTATCATCAATGGTTTTTATTACCAATGAGAAGTCTTTCTTTAAAAAAAACATACACTAAATACACTTAAAAGTCACTTTATTCTTTATGTTTCCCTAACCAATTGTTTGTATTAATAAATAATCCATTAGGCCTTTTAAAATAAGAAATTTATGTTTTATTTTAAAACATATACTAGTTGATCTGCCACACACTCTGCTGTTTTATGCAAGTATTCCAAAAATCTAGTTCATCACGGAAACGCCTCCCTCCCTCTTTGCTTTCTTTTAGAGAAAGGAAATACCATTTTGCCTCTGGAAAAGCTCTTAAACAAAGCTGCATATCTAAGAATAAATCTTGAGTAACTTTTAAATGATATAATCTCTCTTTTATGTACAAGCAAGAAAAGTAACATTTAAAAAGCAGAACGGTATCCTGGACAAATGCTTTCTATGAGGACACTTTAAATGATTAATTGTGATATTTATAGAGATAAGAATGGTTGCTCTCATTCTCATGCCAAGTTTTTCCATTAGTTCCAGAGGCATACATTATTTCCAAGAAGGTAGGACTTGCCACATCAGATCAAGTCCAACATCTTATTGCTAGGAATGGCCTTTACCTAATGTCCTGGAGAAAAATGAAGCATCCTATTAGGCTCCAAGCCAACTCATAGGGGAAAAGAGGAATCTTTAAAAAATAAATGCTGCAGTGAAACAGCATATTTCATTACTCCTCTTTTCCATACATGAATGCTATTAGTAATACTAAAATTATTCACTCCCTTTAAAATACAGTTTTGTTATTTAATTCTATGGCCTCTTGGGAGTATAAATGTAAAATCTAGAGATGCTTTATTTGATGAAACGCAGGCTTTTAAGATATTTTCATTTACATTTACCTGCCACACATTTAATTAAGTAATCCCCTGTTCCAATGTTAAGGGATCATGGTAGTTTTTATTATGAACTTAAATACTCCTCCTCTTCTATTAATCAAACTTCCCAGTTATCTTTCCAAAACCTGAGTCACTCCCAGTTCTTGAATATATATATTTCCATTTAGAAGGCTTTCTAGTAAAAGTCTCCCAATTAGGACAAATTTTTCAATAGTAGGCATAAAACTGCCCTGTGGTTAAAAGTTGCAATTGAGATTGTAGGTTAATATGTATTGTTGAATAAAATTACCCCGTACCTGTATAATCTTAAAAGATAACCAAATTGCGGATAAGAAAATGTTTTGATAAATATAGAACTGCTTTACTCACTGCCAGCAGATAAGTAATGGCTTTAGTATAAGCAAAAGGGGCCAGTGAAAATCTGTCTGAGTAATGCAAACTTTCAGGCTATTGGGAGTGGGAGTGAGGAATAGACAGAAGTTACGCTGATACCAATGCTAAAACAGTCAGCAGTTTTAAATTTACTACTCAGCCCTTTTGCACAACTTTGCTCTCATTTCCAATTTGATCTTACCCCTTTCTGTTATGACAGGTCTAGTCTCACATCATTCATTTATGTGTCCAAACAATGCCTTCTCTGTGCCTGGCATTTGGGCCACAAAGATAAATAAGAACCATTCCCTGCCCTCAAAGAGGTCACAATCTAATGGGACCATCAGACATGAGAATCATCACTTTCAATTTATGACAGGGAGAATAACAAGGGAGAGATGATACTGCAAAGAGCTCAGGACAGAAAGTAGTAAGGGCCAGTTATGAAACTACAATTATTTCAATTAGACTAGGGCAGAGATGGCGGGGTGTGGGAAAAGATATATAGCTAGAGAGATATCTAGGAGTATGAGCTTCATTCTGAGGGCGATGGGAAGAATCCAAATATTTTTAAAACTATTATTTGTAGAGACAAGATCTCACTATATTGCCCAGACTGGTCTTGAACTCCTGGCCTCAAGCAATCCTCCTGCCTTGGCCTCCCAAAGTGCTGGGATTACTTACAGGTGGGAGCCTGCGTGCCTAGCTGCAATTGAAATATTTTAAGCAGAGAAGTGACATGATCAGAAAAGGATTGCTGTGTCTGCCCTGAGTTGGATGGCCTGGAGAGAACCCAGAGGCAAGGAGTTTCTATAATACATATGAGTCATGCTGCAGATCCAAAGTGAGGTGGTCGAATGGAGGAGTGGATAGAACGACAGATAACAAGGAGGCCTTAGCCTCCCAAAGTGCTGGGATTACAGGCATGAGCCACCATGCCCGGCCCAAAAGGATATCTACAAAAGGATTGTCAATCTGTTTTAAAATATGCTTAGCCATATGCCCTGATCTCTTAGCCATAAGCCCTGACCTGTTCCTAATCCAAGTTTTAAGAATGGATTAAATAATAGAGGTAAAGAAATGAAGGAATGGGAAGACATGGAGATGGCCAACCAGATCTGTGGCTTGTATCCTGCCATTCTCTAAGCTTCTTTGGGAAAACAGGTATAACAGCAGATTCAGTGGGATGAGGCCGCTAAATAAAGATTATTGATTTTCAGATGCTCTAACATCCATATTTAAGATATACCTAGGACTCCCTTTTAGAAAATCAGGTAGAAGTCATAGGCGAGAGGACTCCAATAAACTTCTTTGGTTGCAATCACTGAAGAGTATACTGGAACTAACCGGAATCAGCAGCTCCAGACATTTATGGTCAGATTCAAGGCCTTTGATATGAATGGGTAAGTCCAGACCTGGTTACCAGGAAACCCAGGCTAGGTTTAGCTATCTCTAGGGTCTTTTTATTAACAGATGTTACCATTCTGACACCATGTTTTCACCATTTCTCTGTAGCACATCCTCAATCATTCCCCTATATTTCTGCCTATTTTAATGCATAATTTGGATTGTGAGTCTACTTTTAGTTACTTAGAGGACTTAGAACGCAGCTGGCTCACAAATGAATGTAAAAATAATTGCCTTTTTCCATGCTCAAGGGCAATAATACCCTAAATCTCTGTTTCATATCACTTCATTCATGACATGTCCTTCCCTATTACCCCTATTATAATTTATTTTTCTTAATCATTTTTTAGAAACAACATCACTAAAAGGCTTTTTAAAATGCAAATAAATTATGTTCACCAAGTCACTGTTTTCTATTGTTTATCTTAAAAAGAAGTAACTTGAGCAGGTTAACAGGCATGGTTTTCCTTTCATGAGTTTGTATACTTTATGTTGGTAGAGTACTTAAATCTCCTCTCACTTATTTTATGAGCTATGTGAATATTCCAATCTTTAAAAATACACAAATCTTGGGGCACACATATTTTACACATTTGTGTGGTAGCACATATTTTAAAAGGAAATATGAATGGTGGGAACGGAAGGAGGAATTAGCGGGAGTTTCACAAGTTAAAAACAAAAATGGTAACCATGTAAAGCCAAATGGTAATATTTAATTTTATTTGCTGTATATGATCATGAAAAACATTTTGCATGTAAGTTACTAGCTTTTTATATTTCAGTGGCATATGCAAAGATGATTTAAATTAAATAGAGTAAGTCCCAGTATTGGGAGGATTGGAACCTTGTCAAATATAAATAATTTACAAGCTTTAAAAGGATATCTATCTTTTTTATTTTTATTTACTTTTTTTTTAAGATTTTTCTTTAAGAGACAGAGTTTCACTATGTTGCCCAGGATGGTCTCAAACTTCTGGGCTCAAATAATCTGCCTGCCTCAGACTCCCAAAGTGCTGGGATTACAGGCATCAGCCACCATGCCCGGTCCAAAAGGATATCTATCTTTTTTGTTGTTGTTGTTTGTTTGTTTGTTTTCAACTCCTGCACTTAGAAGGGATATCTATCTTTAAAAAGATTGCCGGCCAGGCAAAGTGGCTCATGCCTGTAATCCCAGCACTTTGGGAGGCTGAGGCAGTTGGATCACAATGTCAGGAGTTCGAGACCAGCCTGGCCAACATGGTGAAACCCCATCTCTACGAAAGATACAAAAAAAAAAATTAGCTGAGCATGGTGGCATGTGCCTGTAATCCCAGCTACTTGGGAGGCTGAGGCAGGAGAATCACTTGAACCTGGGAGGCAGGGGTTGCAGTGAGTGGAGATTGCACCATTGCACCCCAGCCTGGGCAACAGGGCAAGACTGCATCTCAAAATAAGTAAATAATGAAAAGATTGTCAATCTATTTTAAAATACGCTTAGCCACATGCCCTGATCTTTTACCTGTGCCTCTCTAAATACATATGGTCCTAATTCCTTCCGGTGTTCAGTAATCTTCTGGGCTTGCTCTACTGGAATGTCAATTTGTAAAGCTGGTGGAATATTGGAATTAATAAAGCAGTTGATAATAGTTGTAATCTTCTTCTGGATGACAGACTCATCGCAATGAGAATGGCACAAGTCCTGAATAGGAGAAGGAAAGATAGAATGGTATGTAATTAACACATTACTAGAACACTTAATAGAACTGTATGTGTTTCAATTAATATATACATTTCAACTTTAGGTCAAGAGAGCACTGGGATATGGCAAGGCTGTCTTTAAAAAAATCATAGATTTTCTTTCTCTTGGATTTGAGGAACCTAAGACTTTGATACATCTACATTACATAAATAAAGATTTCATACAATCCTGATCATTTGTTCCTCTAGGCAAAGGAATGGCATTAGTATCTACTTTGACTCATTTGAAAACTATATAATGAGTGCCTGTTATATACCAGACACTGAGCTAAGCATCAAGAATTAGCCCCTATCCTTTTAACGTTCAGTCTCCACTAGAGGAGAAGTGTGAAAACATGTTACCCCAATTTGGACAGTTAATAAGTATTATGATAGAAGTATACACAGTATCCTAGGACAACACTGAGAATAGGCACCTAACTCAGCCTCCAGTTGGATATGAAAGCTTTCCCATCCAGACCTGCTTTTACATCAAGGTGATTTAGGCTCAAAAAGGGTAGTGGGCATGCTGGTTGTCAACAGGTGTGCCATTCTATGTCTTTTAGTATCTATATTGTGTAGTTACCCTATTGTATTATCCTCTTTATAGATAACCTAAAATTAATGATCATATATTAAAATGAGCCATTTAAAAAATTGTCAACATTTATTTTAGACACAAGGGGTACGTGTGCAAGTTTGTTACATGGGAATATTGCATGATACTGAAGTTTGGGTTACAGATCCTGTCACTTAAGTAGTGAGCGTAGTACCCAACAGGTAGGTTTTCATATTCATATTAGCTTAAAGATAGTTCTGCCCACCATAATAAAAAATTACCTATTGTGGAAAACACACTCCTCCTTTCTAATTCCCAAAAAATTATTTTAATATTGCTCATGTGAAAGATTGAGAAAAAAACTTCTCTCAAAAACCCTTTTTTTTTAACCAGCTTGTGTATCATAGGGAGACTCTATCTATACAAAAAAATTAAAAATTAGCCAGGCATGGTGGTGCATGCCTATACTCCCAGCTACTTGGGGACTGAGGTGGGAAGATCACTTGAACCCAGAAGGTCAAGGCTGTAAGCTGTCTTGTGCCACTGTACTCCAGCCTGGGCAACAAAGTGAGACCCTGTCTCGAAAAAAAAATTTTTTAAATGTTACAGCCTCAGTTGGGAATAGTATAAAAACTGTTGATAACAGAAAAGCGTAGAAAACAGTTTTATTGTATGTCAGAAAAGCTTGGAAATAGATTTTATAGAGCAACTACTAAATAATATGTTGAGCAACTGTATTAGCATCACATAATACATAGTTATAGGCCATTTGAAAGCATTATAGTCTTAAATTGTTAATTTTTTTTGACATGGAGTTTTGCTCTTGTTGCCCAGGCTGAAGTGCAATGGCGCCATCTTAGCTCACTGCAACCTCTGCCTCCTTGGTTCAAACGATTCTCCTGCCTCAGCCTCTCAAGTAGCTGGGATTACAGGCATGCGCCACCATACCGGCTAATTTTGAATTTTTTTAGTAGAGACGGAGTTTCTCCATGTTGGTCAGGCTGGTCTCAAACTCCCAACCTCAGGTGATCCACCCACCTCAGCCTCCCAGAGTGCTGGGATTACAGGAATGAACCACTGCGCCCGGCTAAATTATTAATTTTTACTCCCCACTTTTACAGTGGAATGGAATAGACTGCTTGCAAGGAAATCAGCCTGCTACCTCTGGGAGCATTTAAGCAAAGACTGAAATACCTTTCAGTATTTCTAGACAACATTTCTTTATTCGAGTCTAGACAACATAACATGAAAAGTCCCTTCCTCCTCTTCAATGCAAAGATTATATCCGATTACATTAAACACTTAACCTTGAAAATAAACTGTCTTTGTACCTAACCATTTCTCCTGTACTTATTTTGTTAAGAATTTGGCTATTCTTTCTAATCTCTAACTCTTTCTAATTCCTTTCTTTTCTCTGTTGGTTTATTTATCCATAATCCTGTTTTTTTGATTACTATTACTATAAATAGGGCTGAGAGGGATTCTTAGAAGGAGACCTTGGTTGGTTGTATGGATACACCAAATATAAATATTGTTAGGAAAAAATATATACGTACATTTAGAGATGACTGATATGTAGAAATATAGTTAAAACTCTCTTTGGGAAGCTTTTCATTAAATTTACCTAAAAAAACACCTAATACAGGCTGAGTATTCCTCATCTGAAATGGTTGGGACCAGAAGCATTTTAGATTTTGGATTCTCTTTTGATTATGGAATATTTATATTACACCTACTGGTTGAGCATTCCAGATCCAAAAATCCAAAACCTGAGATACGCCAAGGAGCATTTACTTTGAGTATCATGTTGGCTTTCAAAAAGTTTCAGATTTTGGAGCATTTCGGGTTTCAGATTTTCAGACTTGGAATGCTCAACCTGTATTATCATTCCAGGTCTCACTCTTACTGTTCACTGTATAATAATAAATGTATCTAGAGATTGGACAAGAAATATCTCAATATTTATATACTGGTAGGAAGAAGATGGCAAAATTGGGATATCTTATGCAAATCTTGTGCATAAAGTTAGTTTAAAAATCTGACATTTTAATGCATTTCCTCCTCAAAACAGGTTTTCTCTACTCCCAATACAATACCTTATATTTTTGTACTTCTTGCCAAAAGAGTACCCCATTTTCCAACAAATCTCCTTTTAGAGCCACAAAACGTTGAAACTGTCTTGAAGTAACTGGATTCAATAATGCTTTGCGGAAAGCAATTATTTCACAAGATGAAGAGATCCACTTACTCTCCACAGGCTGTCCAAAACAGAGAATATATGAAATTAGCTCATTAATTAGGCTAACCATTACCAACTTCTATCTCCTATAATTTTGCCTGTTGAAATTTGTGGCACAGCTACAATAGAATTTGGCAACTTTCCCTCCAATTCCTTTCTCTTTTGTCTCCTTTATATTTTTTATGGTTTCAGTTTTAGGAGGTAGAGCGAACAAGAAATGACTAAATGATTTAGACCATATGACTACATTGTTTAAAAATGTTAACAGTTATTACAGCTTGAGATTATGGTGAAAACTACTTTTTAGTGCATTGTATGAGTTCTGTGCTTAAACAAAACAATAATCATGTTATGATTATATGTTATTAGATTACTTTATTATTATATGTTATATATTAATATATAATTCTCCTGCCTTTAAAAAGTAAAAATAGTTAAACATTTAATATATTTTTCATTTTTTAAGAAAAAATTATCAATTGATTCTATAAGTTAAATAATTTGCTATAGAGCTTCACTATAATTTTATCCTGAAAATATTTTATTTTTACATGAGACATTTTTATATTATTTCAATAAATTGTGATTTAAAATAAATGAATTATGATAATTAATAAATTCTGACTGTGAGTTTGCTTTACATAACATAAAAGCTAGAAGCACCCATGGCATTTTAGTAACACTTAAAGGTATTTTTATCTACCTTTATTTTATATCTTTACAATTTGGAAATATAAAATATCTACTTTATTTTTAAAATTTTGCCTATTTAAAATCATTTACCCTCTCAGATTGAAAACATAAAAAATTGATTTTGTTGAATTCACTAAATAGGTTTTAATAATGAAGTTCCCGAAAGCTTATTTTTAGCTTGAAAGCATGCAAGGAAGTATCATTCCAAAGACAATGTTTTAGATGGATTTAGCCACACATAAAATAAACTTCTTGAAACAAATCATGTGTGACCATCAATTTAAGTGTTTAGAGAGTTATATTTTTTAAAAGTGCCATAGTAACATGAAGGAGGAGTAACTAATTCTGCCTGGAGGAGTAAAACCTTTCAGAGAAGGGCCTTGAGGATGACATCTGAGTTGGAAACTGAAAAGTGAAGGCCACTCCAGGCAGTCTAGATGAATGGTGGTGCCATTTACCCAGATAAGGTGAATAGATGTCTATCACTATTTTAGCGAGACACATGTCATGTTCTCTAGACAAAATGTTAAGACCCCCACCATATGGTCCATATTAAAATTATAGCCCTACAAATTTTAGGAACAACTAGATATTAGACTGGGATGTTTATTTAAAACCCACTCAGCAAATAATATTTTAAGATCTGCGTAAGATACTAAAACTTAGAAATTTAACTAAAACCTGTAATTTAAACAAAATAATAAAATACGTGTAATACACAGTTATATAAAAAATAATCTCATTCTATATAATATTTCAACCAAAATTATAGCAAAAAACAAACATTTAAAACATTTATTTCTTTTCAAGGGGAAAATACTGAAAAGTGCATACTAACAGATACATATATTCCTCTAATATTCAAAAAACATTTATCTTTGTTAGTTAGCAGAGGGTCACCTAGGTCTAGTTGGACATTTTATCAGGACCTGCAGAAGGATAAATACACATAAACTTGTAAGCTCAAAAGGAAGACTATGTTTATTATGCTTGTTACATAGCAAAATAGGCAATTTCTAGCCAGGTATTATATTGTATTGGTTTTAAGTCACCAAAGTGATAGCTATCCTAACTCTTTTAAAGCTAAAATGTAATTCTTTTTGTTTTTATTTCTATTTTGATTCGATTTGATTTGATTTTTTATGTATGCTTCTGCTCGGCAAAAGTGATAGCTATCCTAATTCTTTTAAAGCTAAAATGTAATTCTTTTTGTTTTTATTTCTATTTTGATTTGATTTGATTTTTTATGTATGCTTCTGCTCGGCAAAGTGCCCTTGTGAGGATGTCTGGGAGCAGTATACACTTATGACTAAAATACAATTCTAAATAGAAGGGGTAATGTGCCAGGCATGGTGGCTCACGCCTGTAATCCTAACACTTTGGGAGCCCGAGACGGGTGGATTGCCTGAGCTAAGGAGTTCGAGATCAGCCTGGGCAACATGGCAAAACCCCGTCTATATTAAAAATACAAAAAATTAGCCAGGCGTGGTGGCACATGCCTGTAATCCCAACTACTGGGGAGGCTGAGGCCCAAGACTTGCTTGAACCAGGAAGCAGAGGTTGCAGTGAGCTGAGATCATGCCACTTCATTCCAGCCTGGGCAACAGAGACTCTGTCAATAGACAGACAGACAGATAGATGGACGGATGGATGTCAAAACGTAGGATGATTTAACCTGCTGATCTGCTCATTTTTTATGTAACTCACTCTTAATAATAAACTCTCATATGCTGGAATGCACAGCTTGTCTCAGTAAATTCATGACATGAAGAATGAAGAAAAATACATACTTAAGGCAATCACACACTTCTAAGGTTGAGCAGGTCAAGGATCTCTTTAAGAATACAGCTCTTTACTCAGGAGGCTAAGGCAAGAGGATCACTTGAGCCCAGGAGTTAGATGTTACAGTGAGCTATGATCATGCCATGTACCCTGGCCTGTGTGACATAGCAATAACCTAAAAGTGATGATGATAATAATAATAATTATTATTATTTTTTAAAAGAACAGAGTTCTGGTAGAGTCACATTTTCCTCCAAATTCCATTCACCAATTAAAAACAGTATCAGTGCTCAGTCGGCAGTTTAGAAAACAGTGTGTCTTCGGTCAGGACTTTTGAACAAGAAAGGGAAGGAAAAACAATACTTTGACAGAGAAAAACTTACAAGAGGAAGAATATAACAAACATTACTTGCCTTCCAGACCCTGATTTTCTTTCCGGGCTTCTGTAGTAACATCTCTTCTGCTATGTCTTTTATCTGTACCTGAAAGCAAAATCAATTATTTTATCCCCGTGATTCAGAATGTCTAAAGTTTGGTTTGAAATAATTTACTAATTTAGTAGCTAAAAAATGAGATAAAGATGAACTTGGATAAGAGATAGTGAAGCTTAAGAGAAAGAGGATCAAACTTAAAAATGGAAGCTCTGTGGTCAGGTACCAAATTCTTCTGAACACTGCATACTCATCTGTAAAATAGAGATAAGAATACCCAATTGTTATTGCCCAAATAATGATAGTTTCACTTGAGCTCAGATGGGAACTGAAGCTGGAAAGACAACTATGACTTCTCAGACTTTTTAGCCATTTTCTAGCCATATGCTTTCACGACTAATTTTAAAAGAGTACTAAAAGTTACTCAACACAGAAATGCAGTTGATATTTCTTGGAGTTATTGCCTACTCATATTATTTCCCCTTTCTTGGGAACCCCTCATAACAAATCTGTGCGATTGTCTCTATCTCCCTGTCCAAAGCAGATATATCCAGAAGCAGATCTAGATAAGGACTGGAATCACTGGGGTTAAGTCTTTTTGATAGACAGAGCCAGGAGGAAAGATCCGAGAATTTTTCTTGGGTTCCTAGGGCTGTCCTGGGCTACATCTTTTCTAAGGCTTGGGCGTCACCTCTTTATGTGTGTGAAATGCCCCAGTACCATTTTAGAATAAATTATCATCCCTCCTTTTTGTATTTGGTTCAAGGTTGCCAGAATCAGTTTATTTTGCTGGCCATCCAAAGAATGCTAATAAATGACTATGCATTACAATATAATTACAGTGATAAACATGTGGAAATGTGGTAAATAATACTAGCAAGCCAGATGTCCTTTTATTTGGCTTTGGATAGAGAATTGGAGTTAGCCTGAAGAAAGGGAATGAGGAGATTTGAGTTTTTCCAAAGCTTATTTCTGGGAACATTTTGCCTAAAGTCAATTCTTCATCTCCATACTATAAATTCTGTGTTCCCAGCTGACTGTCTTTTCCATAAGTTGCTCAGCTCAAATGACTACGGATATTTCCAAATAAGTAGGCCACAGAGTGTTTCATGTTCTTCATGATTAGTATTAATGGCATGTGGCTTTGTATACTGAAGTCCAAATTACATGCTTTCTGACCCTTGTGTTATTTTTGTAAAGATTGGGTTTGCCTGTTTTTAGGTATGCTAATGACATTTTAAATTATCAAAGTAATACTTCTTATAAAATAAAAATAAGACAAAGAAAAACAAAGACAAGCCCACTTTATAAAATAAAAAGTAAAAATCCTTCACAGTCCCCAAACCCATTCCCAGGAGGCAGATTCTTTTAGATATTTTTCTTCTATAAGCGTAAACATAAACGGATGGATGGATGGACAGATGGATGTGCATAGACACAGATATAAGCAAATCTAATGGGATTATCTTCTATATATTGTTCTGCATCCTGCTTGTTTTGTTTGATAAATAATATCTTTCATATGGTACATGTGGAAATCTCATTTTTATTTTTAATCTCATTTCATAAGGAAATCTGCATATTTTTCCATAGTATGGAATTGTCATAACTTATCTAATTCTTCCCCCATTTCACATTGCAATGAATATCCTTGTATAACCTTGTCCACTGTGTGAGGACTTAATAATATTAGAAATAACAACCATATTAATAGATAAAATTTGAGTGTTTGCCATGTGCCAAGCACCATTCTAAGAAACTAAACACATGTTAATTTCACTTCATTTTTCAGAACAGCCTTACTAAGTAATTATGATGACTAACTCAATTTTTCAAATGAGGAAACAATTTATGAAACTTATAGGTGGTACAACTAATAAGTGGCAGTGCTGAGATTAAAACTTGGCAGTCAGAGCTGGGCAGTGTGGCACTTGCCTATAGTCCCAGCAACTCAGAGGCTGAGGCAGTAAGACTGATTGAGCCCCAGTGGTTCAAAGCTGCAGCGCACTATGTTCGTGCCTGTGAATAGCCACTGCACTCTAGTTTGGACACTGGGACAACAGGGAGACCCCTGTCTCTAAAACAAACAAACAAAAAAAACAATAACTTGGAAAATTTGATTCCATGCTTTTTTAACAAAAATTATTATTATTATTTTAGAGACAGGGTTTCACTCTGTCACCCAGGCTGGAGTGCAGTGTTGTAATCACAGCTCACTGTAGCCTCAATCTCCTAGACTCAAGTGATCCTCCTGCTTCAGCCTTCCAAGTAGCTGGGACTACAAGTGCATGCCACCACACTTGGCTCACTCCATACTTTAAACTACTCTCAACAGAAGTACAATGACCAAGGCCTGGCATGGTAGCTCACACCTGTAATCCCAGCACTTTGGCAGGCCAAGGCAGGAGTACTGCTTGATCCTAGGAGTTTGAGACCTTCCTGGGCATATAGCAAGACTCCATCTCTTAAAAAAAATTTTTTTTTTAATTAGCTAGGCATGGTAGTGCATGCCTGTACTCTCAGCTGCTTGGGAGGCTGAGGTGGGAGGATTGCTTGAGCACAGGAGTTCAATGCTGCAGTGAGCTAGGATCATACCACTGCACTTCAGCCTGGGTGACAGAGAGAACCCATTCCTTAAAAAAAAAAAAAAAAAAAAAAGAAGTACAATGGCTGGGTCACCAGGTATACATATTTGAAGTTTCAGTAGGTACTGACAACTGCTATCAAAAGATTATACTAATTTAAATACCTTTATCTTTTGACGTGCTGCAAACTGTTCACTTGCAAGAAACAATGGCAGCCATACATTTTCTAGCCTATTTTGGACATGCTTCTGGATTTCAGCTAGGACAGGTGCATCAAGCTGCTCATGGAGAAGCTTCCCCCAGCCACCACTTAAATGCATTACCTAAGAAAATTAAAATGAAAACAGAAACTACAAACTTGTGCTTTTTAAAAGAAACACTAATAGCCATTAATTCATTCACTCACTATAAAACCATTTGCTGCACTCTGAGAGGTGCCAATTTTCATTTTCCGTATAACATCTCCTTGCTATGCTGAGTAATCACACAATACTGTATACGGTAACTCCCCTAAAATCAGACAGACAATTGTGGTTTATGTGGTGGTTGTGTTAGATGTATGATTCTTGCTTACTTATATCAAAAAGAGCACAGAAGTGGGATTTTTATCCTGTGTGACCACAGCAATGACATTTTTTTTCTCTATGGACTCAGTATCCCCAACCGAAAAATGAAGACATTAGTCTATTAGTTTTCTAATATCCTGTGAATCTGTGATTATAGTCAAATTGATCCATTTAAGAATTTTCTTCTGTGGATGAGGAAAATGTGTTAATTAGTGAAAAGACAATCTTGACTCAGATATTACAATATGTATATTACCAACAAATGTTGGGTTGGAAACAGGGTGATGGTAGCTGTCGTGCACTATGCACCTAGGACAGTGCAGCTGTAGTGGTGGCAACATACGGCTGTTCCAACAACTGCTAAGCAGAAAACGGAGGCAGCAGGAAGCAGAGAAGTCACGTTTTATAGACAATAAGAACCATTTGTAAAACACGACTTCTTTGTGATCTAAATTTTCCTTCTGTTTAATTATTGGCTTCAACAAGCTACTAATGGGTTTTTCCTGCCATAACTCACTCTTTACCTGTATATACCACTCAAAATTTTTGGATTACTCAGTGGAACAACTGCCCTCTTCTTAGTTCTCCTTTGAGCAATAATATTAATATGATACCACTACTAATACTATTGTTTTATATAAAAACAAAAAGGAAATTGTCTTGAGTCCTCCTTTAATAATTAAATAATATCATCACTATGATTGTTTCTGCATAAAAACAAAGAAGAAAGAAAGAAAAAAAGACTATTTTGCTAATCAAAAGGCAAATTGGCCACACAACCAAAATCTGAACTAGCACAATCTTTATAAGACAATGTGATGCAGACATCCTTAAGTATAAAATACATTTTAAAAGTAATGACAAAGACAAGGATCATTGGGAAAACTCCTCTGTAGTAAGCACATCCATTTGCTATGACAGCAAGGGGTGACTTTCACTGACTTAGATTCTCAGCATGTTGTGTGTACTATGGAGGATTCACACGGTAGCATCAGATACCATGAAACCTCACGCAATGTAGCACAAGCCAAATAGAAAACAAATGCTTTCCATGTGTTTATTTCATACTTGTGCTTATTGAGACACCCAACCACTTTTACTAATGTGTCCCAGATTTGTATCTCAGGGAACTAAGGACAAAGCGTTTTTGTCAAAGTTGCTTAATTCTAGAATTCCTGCTCCCTCTTGCTCCCAAAGACTTTTGCAAATTTCTTCTGCACCCCAAAGATCTAGCTTTTAAATTTGGTATGCACTACTTGTGAACCTCTCTAAATTTTTCTTTAATTTACCGAATTTAGCATTAATCTGAAATTTGTATTTTATTAATATATACCATTAGAATATGCATTCTTGTAAACTACCAAACAAAAATAATCATAAGCCATACATTATACCTTTAGATATTAATGTGGTTCTAAGAAACTTCAAACTAAATTATAATAATTCTTTATGTTTCAAAAGTATAAAAATTGAGTCATATTTCATGAGCAGTATTATATGAACACAAACCTATTGCTGAATTCCAGTTCTACATATATATTTGAGACAGAGCCTCACTCTATTGTCCAGGCTGGAGTGCTGGGGTGCAATCTCCACCCATTGCAGCCTCTGCCTCCTGGATTTAAGGGATTCTCCTGCCTCAGCCTCCCGAGTAGCTGGGATTACAGGTGTGTGCCACCACACCTGGTTGATTTTTGTATGTTTAGGAGAGACGGGGTTTCACCATGTTGGCCAGGCTGGCCTCAAACTCCTGACATCAAACAGTCTCCCTGCCTTGGCCCCCTAAAGTGCTGGGATTACAGGTGTGAACCACTGCACCCAGCCCAATCTTATATTCTTGCCGTCAGTGTAATGATAGTTATTTAGTTATTAATAGATTGTGATTAAGGCCATGGGACTTTTGTCCAACAAAATGCTCAAATATGTCCTGGTCAATAAAAATAGTATCTGGGAAAAATACGATTGTAAGAATGATTTTCTTTTTTTTTTCTTTTATAATAGTTGCTCTAGATTCCATAATATAGAGGATTTTCAAAGATCAATATTTGGAGTAATATCAGTTCAGAGAAGAACAGAAAAGTGGTAGATATTTGGCTTCATGGTTGATAACAGCTGTTTTCCTACATGTTGACAGGTGGAGGGAGCTTGTCCATATTCTTCACCACTTTATCATGAACACCTAGAACAGTCTGGCATAGTGAAGGCACTCATATTTGTTGAGAGAGTCAATGAGTAGATGAACAAAAATTATTCTATAAACTAATTTTTAGAGTAACACATCTTTATAGTATATAATTTCTGAGTATTAAAGACATTTAATTTATAGATCCCATGAGTATCTAAATAAATATCAAAGGTCTCTAACACATTAGTCATATACAAAAGAAAAGAAAAGAAAATAAGAGACTTCCAGGTTGTGGAAAAAAATAGAAATAAAATACAGGTTTTCAAACATCCATATAAAAAATAGGTTTTCATGCTGATACCTGGTTCTGCTGATACAGAGACGCTGGACTGTTGGGTCCAAAGAAATATTTTTTATTAAGGTATTTGTTTTTAATGTATATAGCTTTTGCCTCCCTTTGATTTCGATCTCTGCAAGTTATTGCCCGGAACTGCTCAATGTCTGTCCAGCACATAAGATCCATGCTAAAATGAAAACAAAAACAATGTCTAGCTCTTCACATTTATTTCTCTAAATTCTGCTAAATACCAGATTGTTGTTTTGATGGAACTTGGAAAGTGGCTCTCCTGACTAGTTGCATTAGATCATGGAAATAATGAACCCAATATTGTACCTCTGATCCCTTTCTAGGCCAGTTAGGTTGACTCTATTATACTCCTAATCCCGGCTAAATATATGAATGATTACAAAGGAGCATTGGGATGAGGAAAAAAAAGTCTATCGCCATATTGGTGGAATCTCAGAGTTCTTTCATTAATTTCATCAATTTCAAAGAAAAAAATGAGAAAATTTCCACAAATCTTATGTCATTTGACAAAAGGCCAAATTTAGAATAATCCTCATGTTAATGGGTACAAAAAAATTGAATAAGGACCAGGCGTGGTGGCTCATGCCTGTAATCCCAGCACTTTGGGAGGCCAAGGTGGACAGGCAGATCACTTTAGGTCAGGCGTTTGAGACCAGCCTGGTCAACATGGCAAAATCCCATCTCTACTAAAAATACAAAAATTAGCTGGGCATGGTGGTGCATGCCTGTAATCCCAGTTACTGGGGAGGCTGAGGCATGAGAATCACTTGAACCCGAGAGACAGAGGCTGTAGTGAGCTGGGATCATGCCACTTTAGCCTGGGCAGCACAGTGAGACCATGTCTCAAAAAAAAAAGAAGATGAAGATGAAGATGAAGAAGAAGACGACGAAGAGGATGAGGAAGAACAAGAGAAGAAGAAGAATGAATACCTACTGTTTGACAGCACAATAGGATGACTAGTCAATCATAACTTGATTGTCCATTTTAAAATAAAGTATAACTGGATTATTTGCAACTCCAAGGATAAATGCTTGAGGAGATGGATACACCATTCTCCGTGATGTGCTTATTTCACACTGCATGCTTGTATCAAAACATCTCATGTACCCCATAAATATATACACCTACTATGTAGCCACAAAAATTTAAGAAATTAACAAATAAAAAATAAAAAGATACAAAAATTCTCTTTACAATGAAGAGAAAGTATATACGGTGAAATTTGGCACCAAGATCTAACCAGTTTCTGTTAACTAGGGAGAAAATTACTAGAAGAAAAATATATTCAACACTTCAGTTTATATTAGATAAGCATGTTATAAGGTTCCAATATTCTGGGTAAAACTACAATGTTTCATTTATATATCAGTTAATAAAAATTATAAAATACTATAATTTCAATATCTCAATGAAATATAAAAAGGACACATTCCAGAAATAGTAATTAAAATACCAGTCTAGAGAAATGTAAAAGAAAGAAACAGTAGAAAAAATAAAGCACAGTGGGGGTTTAAGTTAGCCAATGCTAAAAGTGTTAACATTGTGTAACTACTTAAAATGACAATTTGAAAGTTGCTACAATTAAAATGTACTCCAACTTTAAAAAGTTACCCTATACAGATTTCAGATAATCATGTTTGTCAGTCTTTATTGACATAGATAAAATCTGTTACAGCACCAAATCACTATTATAATATGTTGAATCAAAACTAGTAACTTAGAAAAATATTTTCACCGAGAAACACATGGTTATGTCCCTCACCTTGAAGAATTATTCTCAAGGAACTGACGGAAATGTTCAAACTCCAGTTTGTTGTTAAGCAGATCACTAAACTTAAAATGCTTGTATTCTGCAGGAACATTATCCCAATATTCTGTTCGTTTAGAGACGTTAGAGAGTGATAAAATGCCATTTCCAATTTCACAAGTGGTGTCCTAGTGAAACAATACTTTTCAGAAAAAAGTCTCTTAAACACAACAAATTGTTTATAATTTTAAGTACAGAAACTGAAAGGAAAATTAGCCATTAGGCTAAGTCCATTTAACAATTCAATGGCAGAAGTGGGTTAAGACTTTATGTGGTTCAGATTCTAACATATCAAATTCTGTTCTGTTTGTTTTCATTCCATTCCCTTCTTTTCATAAATATTTAGTATACATTCACTATACAAAGCACTTGCTTGCAAAATATTAACTTGATTATATTTTCTAAGTATAGAAGTAACATGTCTTTTTAAATAAGAAAATAAAAATCATACATAATACTACCATTCAAAGATAACCACCATTAACATTTTTAAATATATACTTCCAGTATTCTTTGTATATATACATGTAGTTTATAAAAAATGAAGGTATAAAAATTAAAAATGAAGATTAGATATTATGATGGTTGCATAGCTCAGCAGACTGAATTTATAAAGAGATTTACAATGTCAGATGTAGTTTTAAAATATAAAGATAGGATTATGTACCTATTTATAGTTTTGTGACCTGGTTCTTTTTCTTAACAGTGTATCATAAACATAAGACATTATTTTATAATATAATTTTCAAAAGTTATAGAATAATATAAGTTACTTATCTAATAATGCATCCTTCAAATATAATATAATATGGTATGATATAATAATATAAATATCACCTTCACATAAAAGTTAATTTTTAGGTAATTTTATGACCTCTGATGCTTTGTGAACAGTTTACAAACCCTAAAGGGCAAAGAGGAAGAGTCTTATCCTTTAAAAGGCCCTTTCTTATATAATTCCTTACATAACTAATTCATCTCCCTATTTGTTTTTGTAAAGCATCCATGAGATAAGCAACCAATGTTTTAAAAATTAATTTTCCTTACATGGGAGGATTGTGGATAGCGTTATAAAGTTAGGTTCATAGAGTTTACAATATCTTATATCATGCTACCTTTATGGATTTTTATGTATACTTTGCAAGATAGTAGTAGTATATCAAATAGAGAACTTCTGGATAAGAATAAAAATTTCAGATAGGTACAAAGAAGAAAGTTTTAAAAAATCACCTGAAACTGTACCACTCAGAGTTAACTACCTTTAATATTTTGGTGAGTATCTTTTCAGATATTTCTTTTTATACATTTGAATACATGCAGAAATACATACATCATTTTACACAAACAGTATCATACCATACCAGCGTTTCTGCTTCCAAAATCTTAATATATCTTAAACATTTTCCAGGTTAATTAACTCATTTTTATGTAGATGTACATATTTAATTTTATGGCTTTATGGATTTATTATGTTTACTTAGCCAATCCAAAAGATGCAATTTTATGAATCAAAATAACAGTTTAATATCCTGGTCAGTCTTAGGATCTCTTTACTGCCTTCCCCAATTCCTTTCCATATTTTTTTTCTTTATTGTTTTCCCTGTTGCTGTCACACAACAGTTTCGTTTCTGTTTAGAAAACTCAATTTAACTCTTTTGTAACCTGACAACAAATAGAAAGAGCCACTGCTATACAGAAAATAACTGATAACTTTCAAAGTGATATAACACAGTTGAAGGTTCAAATGTCTCGTCTTAGCCAAGGCAAATGAGTGGCTTGGCTCCCTGTGCTACCTCATCTGCTTTGTTTTGCTGGCTCCCTTGTCAAACATGTCAATAAAGTACAACACCTGTCAAATGCAGCATGCCAGGCAAAGGAACAGCAAAAAAATGAAACTGCCTATCCCCTACTCTGTAATATATGATATCCTCAATTTACAATCTCCCCCTGCCCAATACTTAAAGTGGTAACCCTCTCCAAGATAAAAAGTTTGTTTTTCTAAGTAAAAAGTTGCCTCACCTCAGCTTTCTTGGAGAATGTCTCTTTATGCAAAGCCTGTAGCTTTCTGAAGTATGTGGAGTCTAACTGTCGAGTTTCTTCCACCAGCTCCACCTAAAAAAAATAAATAAAGCTTGTAACATCAATAGAATGCAAAGCTTGTACAATTTGCTAGTAACAGTGGGCTGAAAAACAAACACAGTTGCCAATAAAGCAAATTATTTTCAAGGCAAAAGCAGGAAGATAACATAGTTCAAAAGATTAACTACAGCAGGGTCACACTTCAAAAGGATGCAATAAAAAATGCATACATTTCTATGTCATGATATAGTGCCACCAAAGATCATTCCTCCTTTCTGGACATCCATGTAAACTTACACACAATGCAAATATATTGGTCATATTTACAATTTCTGTTCAATATAACAGGATAATAGTCATGAAAGCAGATGCCACTAGCTTTAGGAACCAAATAATTCACAGAACAAGAAATGACCAGACTCTATATTGTTATTAGTATGTGAGCAAAGGCTTTAATGCTGTGGTAAGAGAGGAGACAGTCAATCATCAAATGAAACCTCATATCAGGTCTCTGTCTTCAGAGTTTGCAATGCACTGTTTCATGTAGTCAGGAGAACAAGACCATTCTCTGTTTTTCTATTGCAGGGAAAAACCAGCTTAGCTGAAGAGCTGCCTGAGAACTTTCTGTATTTAATAGTTAGCTTTGATAGTCCGCTGGATTATTCTTTTTGGGAAAGAGTCTACAGAATACAGTCAGCTGGGCTTTTAGAGAAGTCCTCATACTTCTAGAAGGAAGTTTCTAGAACTAAGAGAGATTTATTTTTCCTCCTATTAAAAACTGTACAGTTTGTTCCATGTGTTTTATAAGAATCATGACGAATGCCAAAACTTTTTGGTTTAGGGAAGTTATTTATAATTCCAAATCTTTTAAAAAAATAATTGCATCCTCTATGGCATACTCTATATTTAAAATAATGACTGGAGAGAATTTTTTAAAACTTCATCAGATTTCCAAATTTTCCTACTGTCACATATGCATTTTTATAGTAAAAAGGATGCTATGCTAATTTTTTAGGACAGGGAGAAATTAATTATTTTGGTCACTGAACTCAGTAAATCACAACAGTTGTTTCAGTCACAATCCAATGAGGTAACTCTATCCAAGATGTTTTGGTATTAATTTTATATGTCGATCTAAGAAGTTGCTGAGGAGATATGAACAAAGAATAGCAATGCAAAGACAGCAGAGTTCCACATGAAATGGCCTTTGGTACACAGTACATGCATTAATTTAATATAAAAAGTATACATAGATGGTTTTAATTTGTGATTCAAAATAAATATTTAAATAAATTGCCTCCACCTTTTAATAAAAATAGTGAAAATATTCAAGCACTGAAGCTTAAAATGACCTCTTTCAGGATGACAAAAGACGTGTTGAAACTTGTATGCAGTCAAGCAGTCTGACCTGATGAACATCTGGGGGTACTTTAAAATAGAAGCACTGAAGTCAGAGGATCTCCATAATACATAGGAAACGTTTATGTTTTCTGTGGGTGTAATATTTACTGAAACTTATCTAGCATAAATGAAATAGTCTTTTCTGTTCATCAAAATTAAGGATACTGCTGAAAAATAGCAAGAAGGGCATATTTACTTATTCACAGGAAACCAAAACTCAGATTTCTCTACTCTGACATATTTGTACAGAGAGCAAAAAATGACATAAAGTCTTTCGTTAGGTGACAATAGGAAAACTGGCAAAAAAAAAAAAATCAAGTGGATAAATATTTCCCTTGATATTTATATAAGAAGCTAGCCAAATCTTAATTCTATATCTTTGGTCCACATGAGACCTGTTTCAGTTTTTCTCTTCTGAGTTAGCAATGCTGCTTATCATCAGCAGTAAACCTGATCATTTTTTTGTAGTAAACCTCAGTGGTTTTGCACTCAACTTATCAGTGGCACAGTACCTTTTTATAAGCAGTTTGGTCTGATTTTACCATCTTTGTCCATGGCTCAAGAAGGAGGAGAAGGATATATTCCTCTGCTGTGTCAAAAAGGTCTTCAAATGGTGGCTGTATTTTCATATAAATTTCTTTTTTCTTTTCCTGTTGGAGTCCAATATCAAGGGTTGCAGAAGGAGCAACATATGTGGCAAAAAGATACTGAAGAAGAGGCAAGAAGGGAGAGGATGTTGGCAGAAGCCACCATGGTTAGCAGACACCTCAGCAGAGGCATTTTTTAAAAACTAAGAGAAGGCAAATAAGCCCATGTGATATTTTTCTTGAAAATCTGGGTAAAACTACTTAACACGAAGCAATGCATCCATACGAAAGACTTTGTTTTTCCTTTTGTTTTCCAATTTCTTTACCAGTAATTAGCCAGTTAGCCAGTTTTTCTCAGATGACAAAAATCTGAGGAAGCATTAAATATTTTTATGGTAAATTTGAGTTTATGTGCCTCTTTTTTTTTCCTTTATTTTCACGTCATTTCTGACACATTTGTGTTAGTTTCCAAAATGGGCTGAAATACTTTTTTTGGAAACGAGAGGCAAGAATACACCAGGACTGAAAAGCTATTAGTCTTCTAGTCTAGAGACCAAACAGACTACCTGCCCTACAAAATTGAGCTACAGAGTTCTTAAGACTCTTGCTAATTATCCCTTAACGCTATTAAGTCTCTCCACCTGGTATCCAATGCTGTGAAAAAAATAACAGTAAATGAAGGCTGGGCACATTGGCTCACACCTCCCAGAAAGTTGGGAGGCCAAGGCCGGTGGATCACTTGAGGTCAGGAGTTCAAGACCAGCCTGGCCAATATGGTGAAACCCCCATCTCTACTAAAAATACAAAAATTAGCTGGGCGTGGTGGTGCACCCCTGTAATCCCAGCTACTCAGGAGGTTGAGACAGGAGAATCATCTGAACCTGGTGGCAAAGGTTGCAGTGAGCCGAGATTGAGATCATGCCACTGTACTCCAGCCTGGGTGACAAAGTGAGATTCCATCTCAAAAAAAAAAAAAAAAAAAAGTGAATGGAAAGATATACATAGAACATCCAGCAAACCTGCCACAAAGATTTATTCCATTCTACTAATTGTCTTGTCTCTCAATAGTTACTTATATCTGAAAAGCAATGTAATAACATTTTGTTTAAAAAATGTTTGCATACTGGATATGTTATGCCCTGAACATTTTAAATAGAGTTTTATTAAGAATCTCAAATTAATTTCTACTTTTTGTCAATTTTATTTCACATACTTAGAATTTGAACCTGATATCTAGACTCAGAACAGATACAGATGTAAATTTGTACCAAACAGCAAGTAATAGTCTTATTTAAAATAATATTTTTAAAGTCTTAGAGGATCCATGTTAATAACATAAGCATTTACCAAGTACTGCATCCACTGCATCTTAGATGCTTGGCTAGGTGCTATGTATGCAAAGAGTAATGAACAAGAGTCAATGCCTGTTCTGAAGAAGCCAGTTTGGTGGTGACATGGAGATGAATATTGATGGTTATAATACAGTATGATAAGTGCTATAATAGAGGTATATATTACAAATAAAATCATCAATGATTCTTTTAAGCTTATCTCCCATTAATTATCTTTCAAATTTTACATTCAAATACAAATTTTCTATAATTTCCCTAAGTCTTGCTGTTTTGCCATTTCATACCATTGCACATATTGTTCCTTCCATCTTGGATGTCTACACTACCCCACATACGTTGTCTGCTTGATGAACTAATTAAGTGTTTAAAACCAACACGGATTTGTCCTCCTCTAGGAAGTTTTCACTCACATTCTTCCCCCAACAATCACACTTTCTGCTATTATGCCTGTCACTCTATAATGCAGTTATGTATTTGTTTGTCTTCTCCTCTAGATTGAGATCCTTGAAAGTAAAGACTGTAGCTTATCCACCAGTGTATCTCCAATTCCTAAAACTGTTCTTGGCAGACGGTAGATGCCATAAACATTTATTAAATTTTCCAAATCCCCAGAAAAGATTCACTTAGGTATTGGAATATGGAAGGAAATAATTCTAGAAAATCTTCATAGAGAAAATAATTCTTGTTTCAAGAGACGGGGTCTTGCTATGTTGCTCAGGCTGATTTGGAGCTCCTGGGCTCAAGCAATCTGCCCACCTTGACATCCCAAAGTGCTGGAATTAACAGGCATAAGCCACCATGCGGGGCCTCCAGAAGATAATTGTTAAGCTGAATCTCTAGAGATAAGTTGGAGTCAATAATCAGACAATAGAAGAGGGTTGATGAGAAAGATGGACCAAGCAGAAGCAAAACACAGGTCAATGCCTGGAGGCTTATGGGAGCTTTAAAACCTAGAGAGACTTTAGGCTTCAAGTAGATAAGACTGGCTAAAGGAAAGAGGTAGAATAAGAGAAGATACTTTAAAGGGGGCAGGGACCAGAGCATGAATATGATCTTTTATCCTTTGTAAAGGAATTTGAATTTTTACCTGAAGATATAATGGGGAATCTCTGAAGGGTTTTAACTGAGGAGTAACATCATTGGCTATGATAGTTTAAGATCAATATTTGAGACAATTTGGCAGTTATTTTAATAGGTAGACAAGAAATTATATGTCACCTTCACCTCTTGCTTGCTTTTTTGCAGCAGTCTCTTAACTGGCCTTCCCAGACTCCTCTTTGCTTTCTTAACAGTCTATTCTTACCACAGCAGACAGAAAAATCCTTTTGTGCAGCACTCCTCTGCTCAAACTCTCTAGCGGCTTCCCATCTCACACATAATAAAAGTCAAAATGCTTATAATTACCTATAAATGGAGTTTTTGGAAGTTTTGCGTTGATGAGGAGACAAGGATTATAGTTCAGGACCTGTCAGTGGGGAAGTCCTATAAACATTCTAAGCTCTCAAAACACCCTGAGAGCAAGAATGGACTAGAAATTGACTCCAGCCTTGAGTTTTTAAGAAAATAACTGCCAACCTACAATTCTATGTCCAGCAAAAACACCCTTCCAAAATGAAAAACAAAGTAAAGATGTTATAAATCAACAGACAAAAACAGAGACTTCATCACCAGCAGACCTGTACTAAATGAAATAGTAAATGGAGGCTCTATACAAAAGCAGAATGGATTAGAAAACAATGGAAAGTACAAATATGTGAGTAAATATCAATAAATATTTAATTGCAAAATAAAATAATAATAATGAATTCAGAGGAAAAGTAAAAGAGCCTGAGAAATAGAAGTCAGAGATAAGAGATAAACCACGTCAGAGTAATTCTGCAGAAGCCAAATGAAGAGCTAGCTTAAAGATAGGAGATAGCAATAAAAAGTGTTAAAAATATATATATTATGTATATATATAAGTAAAGAAGTTAAAGCAACAAAAGAATCAAAGGTGCAGGTTAAAGTGCAAGTGAAATTATCTACTGCGAGGTCTATGACATATAGGAAAGCAAACGAGGTAAAAATCAGGGTAGTAATACAGTAATTTGCAGGGCAGAGTATCAAAGAACCAGTGGTTAAGATAAGGGAGAAGGGCGTGTAGAGTAGTTAAAAGGGAATATTGAAGTTCAGCATATAATAGGCATTCAATAGATACTTGCTGAGTATGTATATGGGATATGAGTGTCATACAGTGAGACTGATTTGAGAGGGAAATATCACAGGTCAAGAATTTAAAGCTGGCAGGTTGCGGTAGCTCATTCCTGTAATCTCGGTGCTTCGGGAAGTAGAGGTGGGAGAATCACTTGAGGCCAGGAGTTCCAGATTACAATGAGATATGATGGTGCCACCGTACTCCAGACTGGGTGACAAGATGAGGAAAGGGAGAGACAGAGAGGCAGTGAGAGAGAGAGAGAAAGAAAGGAAAGAAACACACAGAGAGAGTTTTGAAAAGTAAATGAATTAAAATAACATAATACTTAGGTAAATTATGAGACTAAACATTAAAATTATCAAATTAACATTTTAAAAGGTAGGATTTGCTCCAATAATTCCAAATTCACTTCGAAGGAAAGAAAATGGAACAGCCCAAATTATTTACATTAAAAATCAGTAGTCAGGTTCAATTAGGGCAGAAATACTTTTCTTGGAAAATGTTTTCTTCTTTTGCAATTCAGAGCTATAGTCTAAAAAGATTTGATGTGCTACATATAAAACTCTCATACATTGAAAATTCTGGTGAGTACAAGAAAATTTCTCATATAGAAATCAGGGTAACTCCTTTTTTTCTTTTTTTAAATGAGAACAGAGAAGAGGGTAAAAATAGGAAAGAAGTTGAAATAGTGGCTAGAATAACGATGACAGCTGATAGGATTTTCAGCCTCTTGTGGACACCTGAATCTCCCTCCCTTCTCATTTACTCTCAGTCTTGCATTTACTCTTTCTGTTTTATCTTTAGGATTTACTGCTATCCTCAGTTCCATGAGATACTTTACATGTGATTTATATAGTCTACTACTATACCTATACCATGGTGGACCCTTCATGATGCCCTGTTAAAGCCGAGTTGCTGTATTTGATTGTATCCAATTGCCTTGGGCTTTTACTTTCTTAAACTTTGCTGTATTATTTTCTTCAAAATAAGTTTCTCTTTAATTTACCACTTACCATATTAATAGAACAACTTTCTCTCTCTGACCATACTTTTCATCTTTTTACATCTCTTACCAGGCTTTTCTTCACCTTCAGCACAATCTGAAGCTTCTTGTCCTCTAAATAAATCATGCACCAACTGCTTTATCTTACTTTCTTAGACAATTGGGACTGAGAACTGTCCATTATTTCAACTATACTCTTACCAACATCCTTAATTCCTCCCCATTCTATCCTCAAGTTCCTAATAAAAACATGATGACTGACTCCATTATAAATAAACTTCAAAAAAAACTTAGCTGCAATCAAATATCGTTACATTTTTGCTTATTTCTAATCAATACCATTTCCCATTTAAAAACAGCTGTCCTCTTTAAAGCTCCCAACTGTAACCTTACACTTCTTCACTTTCAGGAGACTTTATCTTCCACTCAACTGGGAAAAACCACTGGTATATGTCCTCAACTCTCCTCTCAAGAGCTCTCTTCTAAACTTTTTTGTTTCTCTGCTATCTCAAAGAAGACATCTTTCCAGTCCCAAAGCATTCAGGTGTGCTCCACCATGTTCCTCCAGAGC